GAGGATCCCGGGCCCGGCAGGAGCCAGCGGGGCCGCCGGCGCCTTCTGGTGAGGGCTCCGCCTCGGGGGGCGCCTCGGCGACTACAAGTGCTCTAGGAGGGGTGCTTCTGCAGCGAGCGACGCGGGTGTGCTGTACGACACCCACGATAAGTTTATTAAAGAAGCGCAAGGCTAGTTGGACTCGAGGTAGGGACCTCTAAAGGGAACCTCGTGGCGTGTTCTCAAAGTAACCCATTTTCCACCGAATTTTGACGGTCGTATTTCGGCAAAACCCCGTTATGCTCCAGTTACAGCTCCAGAGACTCGGGTTGATTTACTGAATGCTGGCAAAGGACCGCCTGTCCCCTGCGCTATCAAAGCCGGGGGGAATCCCGGCACCCCAACGGCGGTAGCAGAACTTGAATGGAAATACATTTCATCAGTTACAGCTGTAAACCGCAGGACGCAAGCATACTACTAATAAATGTAACTTTAATACTAGGCACGTGTTCCATAAGACATTCATTAGAAGCACGCTTTAGGAGAACACACTTCGTTAACCCCAAAGGAGCTTTGCCCGTGGCCAACGCCGGCGCAGGAGCTGCAGGATGCTGGACCCACCGCCGCTAGCCCGGTGCCAGAGTCACGGTACGACATGGAGGCAGCTCTGGCAGCTCCAAAAGAGTTTGCTGCAAGCTGTGGAACTGCTCCTCAACCCAAAAGCAGGCCGTGATCTTTCTGTGACCACATTTACGCTACCTGCTTGCAGGTGTCAGCAGCGTTCTTTGAAATTAAGCTTGCAGGTATGTGGGGTATCACAGGTTAGACTAAATACTTGGGAAGAGGAGCCAGGATGCTATCAGTTTTATGAACTTAAGTTCCTTCCCAAGGGAAAATGCATCGTTTTGCAGCAGCTTTTGGACCATCGGCCTAATCTGGGGTGCATTGCCTCATATGCTCCTCCGCAGAACTCTACCTATTTGCAGTCAGTTTGAACGGGGTTCAGCACTTCTTCGCTCTGAAGCTCTTTGGTTTCTCTGATGAGTAAACTTCAATTAAACCCCCCCAAATTTCAGTCCCATGGACTTTTGTTGTTTTTTCTTTTGCTTTGCAACCTCTATATTGAACTTGCATTTGATTACAAGAGACTAAACCCGATACTCTGGTGTTATTTTAGCGTCTTTACTTCTGTCCCCTGGAGGACTGCTTATCAGATGTTTACGTTAGCCGTATTTTATGTGATGATGACCAGGCATGATGCTCAGTTGGCATATACAACAGTTTATTTGACCTCCTCCGCTTTGGTTAACAACCAAATATTTCCTAAGTATTTGTTTGTGGCATTAATTGGATTTCAGGTAGGTGTTCATCGCGTTCCCCCTTGGAAATAAAAATAAATCATATAGGCAGGGTACAATATGCTCGCTTAAAATGATGCCTAAAACACTCACAAAACTAATGATACCTACTAATGACTAAACCCAAAGGTAACTAATGAGAGGCATGACATACTAGCTAGACATACAACATAACAGCCAAGTAGCATCTGCCAATTTGATTTAAGGGTATTTCTTTTCTTACATCAAGTAATTAACCTAGTATTACTGAATATAATCCATGTCTAGGATGCCAAGCAACTCTTCAGAAGTTCATATAGACCACTTTGATGTAGCAGCAGAGAGAGCAAAGGCACTCAAGACACTGAAAACCAGCAGGAGTCGGGGAGTGGAGTGTTTCCCAGCAGAGCTCTATAAAAAAAAAAGAGAGCAATTTGATAAGCCTGATTCAAAATAGTTCTATTTATTACTATTATAAAAGCATAGAAAGTTTCAGAGAAACCTATCCTCCCCCTTCTATTGTGTAGACACTTCCGATGTTAAAAGATCACCTGCCACATCTGTAGCACACATAAATCAACGGGTGTTCAGTTTCCAAGTGATCGGCAGGATCAGAACTATAAAGCACTTACGTGATCCCAGTTTCCCTCCTTTTTGTTGATGCTATTCCCCTTTAGTATGTTGCACGTGTATGCTCAAACATTTATTCAGATCTAGGAAATCTAACAGGTGCCCTGCAGTATGAACGATACCTTCCATTTTCTACGGTATGTGTAGGAAGAAACCAGTAGGAACCGCGAAGAGGAAAAGTGCTTACCACTTGACTGCCGCCTGAGGAAGGTGAACCCTGAAAACAAACAAACAAACAAATCAATCTGGAAGTGTTGCCACCCAATGGTTTTGAACACAGTTTTGCCTGTGATCCACAAAATTTTGACAGCTTAACCCACAGCATGGTTTTACATGTCCAAGAGGAAAGTAGCTTTGCATAGATAAATAGCTTTAGTTACACACTATCTCATCTGGCATCTGAAAATCTCAGCTAAAATTGATGAAAGGGCAAAAGTCTGTTTTCTTCTCTCATTCCATTATGATATTCCATACAGAGTTTTCCATCCCTATAGTTGAAAAAGGATGTTAAAAATTGATGAGTACTGGGGAAAAAAATAAAAAGTGCAAAACCAGGTAACCTGCCAGTGAAAAACTCAACAATCTAATCTAGCTTATTAAAAAAAGAAAAGTGAAGGATTAACCAAGCAGAGCCCATAGAAATCTACACAGAGAACAGGAATTTAAAATTAGAGGACAAGAAAATGTAACAAGGTCTGTAACTGGAATGTGAAGCAAGACAGGTTCAGATTTGAAATATAACTGATATTGAAATAGCTTTCCCAGGCTGAGGCTGTATTTTCCACAGCAGTTTCTTTAAATACGCTCTAATACAAATAGAACTGATATAGGATGTTCTCTTCAGACCAAATCACCCCCAAATCTCTCTATCAACCATGCAGGTTCTTTGTTTACTAAGAAAAGAAGATGAAAATGATGTGATGAAAGTATTCTTACCGGTTTCCCAGAATAAGTGTTTCCTGAGGATGAGAGGCCCTGTCAAATAATTACGAACCATTTACTTTGGCTGTACGAGACTCCTAGGGAATTGTGCCCAAAGAGCATACAGCAATTTTGAAAATGCCCTAGGTGTTAGTAGTTTTGATACTGGCTTTGTTTTTTCCATTTCCCTTGCACTGTTTTCCCTATTTTAATTGAATGGTCTCAAGTAAGCGCAGCTACGTCCTCTTTATTCCATGAACAGTTTCAGAGGATTTTCAAAGCAACGCATTATTGACTGAACTAGAATGTTTGAAACGGAAACATTATCCTGATATTTAAATACATAGAATGATCTGAGCATGTTCCTATGAGTAACTAAGAGTATATCAAAACTTTGCTATGGGAGGAGTGATACCTTTCTCAGGTTTTCTGAGATATTTACCATTGTAACATAATTTTAAATTTCACCCTTCTTATTGTTACCTATTCTAAATACCAATATCCACATTTCTACCTTGGTTGTGGAATACTGAAAGAAGAATAAATATCCTTACTGGCTTTCCTTGATGACTGCCTCCTGAGGAAGATGAACCCTGAAAAAAGATACCTGTTTTCGACTCTAAGCCTATTTGTACTTCAATATATTCTTGCTATCGGGAATAAAAGACCGCAGGAGAATGAACACTATTTTGTGTCCAGTCATCCAAAAATCCCAGGGAAAAGCTTATCTGAAATACAAGTATTTAACATCTTTCTGTTACAAGTATTCTTTTCAATGATGTATTAGAGAGTTTAGTTCAAAGTTCTCAAGAAGAAAGAGCTGTTTTGTAGTTATGATGTGTTTAATATATAGAAAGGAAAAATAATAAGGTCTGATTAAACATTAATTCACCTGGAATCAGTCTACAGTTAGATTGGGGGGGGGGGGGGGAAAAAAAAAAAAAAAAGGTTAATATTAGAGTCCTTTACAGCCCTATGTGAAGAGAGCTCTGATAAGGAAGGTAACTGAAATTAAAAGTGGATACTGAAAAATTAGATGTTCTACAGGAGTCTTATTCACTTTTCCGGCAAAGTTGCTCCACTTATTTGACAGGCATTGCTGACGGGAAATCCTAACAGCATTGACTCTTTAAGGAATGCCATCAATATGGTACACAAAATGTCTCGCCTTTCTGATTCATGTATAAGAAAATGTAACATTTGTGCCCTTTTTGATAACAGGTGGATACATCCTATTTTCTGTAAGAGATAAGCTAAAACATTGTGTGTGCTTATTTGTATCTCCTGCTGTTGAATGACAACAAGAGCAAGGTCTAAATTACATAGTAAAAAGAGTGGTCTAAAAGGGGAGAAAATGAAAATATGCAGAGCCAAATATCAATTGTTAATTCCTTCAAAAAGAAAAAGAAAGTATTTTCTTCAAAGCAAGCCAGAAATACTTAAGACAAATGCATATAAGAGCAATGAAAAAGTGAGCCCTGAGCACAAAGTGCCTGGTTACTATGAATTTAAACAGAAATAACTGTTCAGAAGTCCCTTAGAAAAATAAATAAATAACAAATAATTCTGTAATCTCATTCTGTGATTGCTAGAACTAATCCAGAGATTGACTAGAAGTTTAGTTACAGAGTAAAATGCTGGCTCAAAACTACAGAACTGTGTGAAAATAAATATTGTGTTTGCATTTGTGGAGATTGTCCCAGATAAGTAAACCACGTGACATTCTTTGCATATTTAAGTAATTCAATGTCTAGTCCACAACTAACTGGATACATTTTTTTTTCACAGGCTTATAAGAAAAAAGAAAGGTAAACTTGAAATTTTTTACTTACTGGTTTACCATGTGGTCTGCCTCCAGAATATGGGCCCTGTAAGAATCAATCAAACATCTATTAATTGAATGAAAAAAACCTATCGCTGTCTTGAGACAATTTGGGCAGTACTTAGGACAAACTTATTTGGATGTTGTTTGAACTGGGGTACCTAAAAATTAAGCTACCCCCTGCACACCAAAGCAATGGCAAGTTGTGCTGAATCACAGAAGCGGTGTTAGTTTTACACCCAGCAGTAATTCATTGTAAGCAATTCTTTTATTCAGCTTGCTGAAATGACTTTAATTGATATTACCTCAACTATTTAAGCTCAGTAAAATGGCAAAATGAATGTATCTCTCGGCATCAGGTAACAGATCCAGACAGTACAGGGAACGAGATAGGAGTGATGGAATGAGGAGAATACACGCACCTGCCCACCATAGTGGCTGCTTCCTGAGGGAGAAGATCCCTATTAAAAAAAATCACAGGAAACTTAAGTGCTTAAGCATTGGCAGAATAACAGCAGTTACTTTTTTTTAAAAAAAAAAAACAACTTTTTTTTTGTGCAGAATGAAACATCACAGAAGGATCTTTTAACAGGAGATCTCAGTAGGAATCTGGAAAGTATATTAATCTGAAAAGATGTGGTGAAAGATTTCTGACTTAGTTCCACTAAATTCCCTAACAGTTGAAAGTAGTAAATGCAGCAAACAATCACAAAACACCTGCGAAGACTATTCTGTGACATAAATATACGGATATAAAGTGTCTTTAAGTATGGCTGTGTTCAAGAGAAGGAAAAAAAATCTACTGCATTTGTGATTTTCTGCTATGTCAAACATGTTCAGAGCGCATCATTGTGTATGATTGTAGGAGCATCCTTATTATTCCAAATAAGTAATTTGGGAAAAAAATTGTTTTGCAGCTTTTTAAAAATCTCCTCCACGCTACAAAAAATGATCTTAATAGAGTGATACTGAACTCGAATGCTTGCCAATGGAGTAAAAAGAAATTAAATTATTTTTTAGTATAGCAGAGTGAAATATTGTGAACAGAGTAATACTAATGAACAATATGTTCCGCCTTCTGATTAGATAGCCATCCATTACATCTGTTAGCTATTTGGGCAAGTAAGATTTCTTGATCGTTGACAAACTACCACGTCTACAAAAGCCACATAGGGAGCTGCCTGCAGAGAGAGATTCGAATTGCAGCTAAAGATGAGGAAAGTAGTAGTATTGTGGGTAACACACCAGAATTTATATTTTCAAAGCAATATCTATTGGTATATTTTGTGGCAGATTTCCAAGTATTTAATCTAAACAAATGGGAAAAAAGGATAATTTCAATATAATTGAAAAATAACACAGAAAATAGATTTTGAACTGGTGCCATAGCAACATGAAACTGAAACATAAAAATGGTTAATTAAAATTGTCACTTGAGATAAGCAGCATTCTGAGGCAAAACAAATAAAATTATGATCTATGCAGTTTCTTTAAATTGAAGTTTATTCATGCTACTCTGTTTCAGTTACTGAGAAACAGTCCCTGTTTTCAGATATTTATTGAGAGTAAAATGCGTCTGAAAAACTGACTGGCACTGCATCATATTTTTCATTTAATAAACAGTAAGTAGGAAAAGATCTCGAAAACAAAGAAAAGTTGCTTGCCTGTCCACCATACTGCCTGCTTCCAGAATATGATGAACCCTGTAAAAAGAATGTGAAACTTTTGTAAATATATTTTTTTTAAATACCACCTGGCATCAAAAAACCCCTGGACCTAATCTAAACAATACACATGACTCTGATTAACTGGAAGAACTTTACACAGTTATTAATGCAGTGGCAAATGGCTACTTATCCACACATCATATTAGTGGTTTATGCAATGAGATGAACCCCATGAATTATTATTCAGTATTTTTTCAAGGAGAGTACATAGTAAAATCTTGTCTCTAAGATATAGAAAGATGTAACTGAAATGTCAAGAGTGGTTCAATAAAAGCCACATGACTCTCTGCAATTATTGTCCCTATCTCTGTGACTAAACTGAACTCAATATGTAATGGATTCTGGGCAAACATGGCAACTGAGCCACATTTATTCCTGAGGAACTGATCTGTGTAAATGTTAAAGACAAATTGCCTTCCTGTCCACCGTGGTAGCTGTTTCCTCCAAGAGAGCCCTGCATTCAAGAAAACCAGCAATGTTTTCTCTGTATTAAATTTAATATCACGTAGAAGATATACAGGAGAACACATTGGCCTTTTGCAATGATCAAGATATTTACACTGTTACTAGTATACTTTTCTATTTGGTTGATTAAACAAGTAAAGGATTTTGTTTCGATTCATCCTTATTCCTTCAGATCATTTGCTTGCAAAGTAAGCTAATAATGTATACGTTGCTTTCAGCACTTCTGATTCTCAGAAATGGCATATATACCATGAGTGAAATACTTCTGGCATGTGGGTTTTGCTTGATTTCATAACCTCAGAAAGAGAAGTAGCTGTCTAAGCAATTTTGACCATACTGAGACAACAGATAACTGAATGCCCCCTCAAAAGTGAATTAGCTTAATTTCAGCAAAACAGCAGAGTTTTGGGGTTTTTTTAAAGTATTTACAAAAATATAGGGAATATACCAATTAGACAGAAAAAATGGAAATAGCTTTAACTTTTTTAATGTGTTGCTCTGCTCCCACTTGGAAGCATTTTGTGCCAAGATTTTAGATCTAAGTTTCATTGGTTCAATCACACTGTTAATAACCATCGTAAGAGCAGCACTGCTAATACATGTGTCCAAAACCCAGCAGACACACTACCAGACATTTGGGAAACAGATTCTTAGAGAAGTCCCAGGCCTCTCTTACAAACCAAAAGAAATTAAATGCTTTAAAGCAGTTTTTCAGGTCTGCCTATTTTACAGAATTAGCACTAGTCTTCCTTTGATACAGATATTGGAGAACATTACTACTTGTTTAACCCAGGGTGGGTAAAGTGCAATTTATTTCCCACGTATTTGTTTGAAAATAGAAATGCATCTGGGTAGCTAGTTTTGAATACAATACAACAGTTGCAAGTCACTTAACATTTTTGTCCTTAGGAGGTTCAAAATTTCTCATTTTAGCACAATGTGAAAAACCATTCATCATACATATAAATTCACAGCCAGAATTATTTCAAGAAAAGTAGTTCCTTAGGAATTTTCTAGCATGAGAAATATACAAAGACAAAGAATACTTACTGAACTCCCACCGGGGCACACGCATCCACCCTGTATAAAACACAACCAAACTTATTTTCCTGAGTCTAGGACTGGAAGAGGCCTCTGAATTAGTAAAACAAACTCACGTTCTGCTACTGCAAGAAAGTGGACTATAAAATCCTGCTTGTAGATTCACCAAGCTCCATCTAAAAAGTAGTTTCTTTCTCTCTCCACTGTCCTTTCAGGCTAGCTGTGCACTTACTGATCAGTTTTTTAAATCTTCTGATTTCTCATTTAAAATTTACAGTAAAAACCTTAGTCACCAAAAGGACGAGTAAAAAATTCCGAGTAGTACTACAGAAAATACTTTGGGGTTGGTTTTTTTTTTTCCCCAAGAGAGGCCAGAGCACCTGGAATACACGCAGTACTGTCTCATGCTGGAGATGTTACAGAAAACACTAAAGATTACTTCAGGTGGAGGCCTTCTAGATGATCTCTACTCTGATAAAACTAACTGAGAGGTGGCCAGGGGTTCACCATTCAGCATCTCACTTTCCACATTCCGTCTGCATGGAATATGTGAGAAGGAAGACGTTTAGCACCAAAGCAAGTAGAGAAGCCCGAACACAACTGCCATTTAGAGAGTTCCTGCTGGCTACTCTGGCCTGCAG